CCCCCCCCCCCCCAATCGATTATGCTTCCGATTTCTTTTTGCCTATGTGCTTTCCTTCAAATGCAAAGGAAAATCACAAGAGACTGTTTAAACCAATATACGAAACATTGTTGGGCTATACTAACAATACACCATAGAATTATCAATTTATCTATTTTCTTTATTTTTCTTCAAGCGATATATAACTTTAAAAAAAAGGTCTCTTTTAGTTTTTCTCTCCCATGATTAAAAAAAAAATCAAACCTTTTGTTCTAGGGCTCTTTTTCACTACTTCTACTCGTCGGTGGCATCCATACGCCATGGTTAAAGAATCAAGCTACAGCGAATTCAAGCAAAGACCTCAAATCATCAATCGACCTTCCATTTCATTGATATCGACTAATGTGACTTTCTTTAGTCTTCACCGAGTTTAAGACTTCAAGGATCGATACTTCATCTTGTTCTAGCTTCAGCGAGTTCAAGAATCTATACTCCATCGTTCAAGCTTCAGTCTTCTTTCTTCAGAAATTGATCTTCCGCAAATCAAGAAATCAGAATCGGTGCCTTCAGTCTTCCTTGGTTCATTTCAGTTAGTTTGAGTGGCGGAACCCTTAAGGGGCCAGGGGAGGCCGTTTTTTGGCCGACTAGGTACTGCTTGCTGGCTTTAACTCTGTGATGACGACACAAGATTCAACAACTCCTAGCTTTCAAGGTTTGTAATATCGCACATAATCACAAGATAGCTAATAGGTCAATATTCATTACGAAATTCCAATTGTTTAGTTCTTGATTTGGTAAAAGGAAATTTTGGTCTAGCTTGATTTTACAATGTTGTTTTCAATTCCTTTCAGTCTTTCAACTTCCAAGTCAGTAAAGGTGAAGGTGACGTGGTGGGGATGCCCTGACCACCCGAAGCAAAGCATTGTGCAATGGGGAAAAGGCAGAGGCGGCGGATCTCATGGGCGGTGGTTTGTGGAGTGATGTTGTTTACAGTCGGTCTCATCTCTTTGTTTACAGGTCATGTGGCTTCAAATCTCGAGTGGTATTCTCAGAAACTCGTTAAGCATCGATTGTGGTATAGTAAAGTGGTAAAATTTCTTGAATCACATCGTGTGAAATACTTGCTTACATTACATTACATTACATATGTGAAATATTTATGAGAATTTTTTGAACATTTAGGGTGGATTCCGTCATCATGGACCAATTAACATCTGGAAATCTGAGTTTTCAAACTTGTACTACGGATGCAGTGAAAGAGGCCCTCATTACACACCTCCTGTTGCTGAGCTACTATCAAATGGGTATCTTCTTATAGCCACCAGTGGAGGGCTTAACCAACAAAGAATTGGAGTAAATAAACATTCTGCCTTTCATCTTTCTTCATTTGCTACACATTATTTATTTATTTTTGCAATCAATCTTGTGAACACAGATAACAGATGCTGTAGTTGTTGCACGGATATTAAATGCCACATTGGTGGTTCCTGAGTTTGATCATCATTCATTTTGGAAGGATGATAGGTGAGCTAACTGCTAACTGCTAACTGCTAAGTAAGATTTCATTAATTGAAACTGAAACTAAGATGTATGTGAATTGTGATCGACTGATTGTTATCTTATTATGATTTTTTTTTAATAAACTTTGCAGTGACTTTTCAAACATTTTTGATGTTGATTGGTTTATCTCTTTCCTTGCAAAGGACGTGGTTGTTGTGAAAAGAGTCCCAGACAAATACATGCGATCACTTGAAAAACCCCCATACACCATGCGGGTCCCACGTAAATCTGAACCTCACTATTACCTTCATGAAGTTCTTCCTGTTCTCTTGAGGCGACATGTAATTCCTCTTCATTTACTTTACAACTACTGAAATATTTTGGGTTTTTTTGATTTGTGAATTGTGATGAATGAATTGTATATAGGTTGTTCAGTTGACAAAGTTTGACTATAGGCTTGCTATTGACCTTAATAAAGAGCTACAAAGGTTAAGATGCAGAGTCAATTACCATGCTTTTCGCTTTACAAAACCATTGCAAGATGTTGGAGATCATCTGGTGATGAAAATGAGGAAGATGACAAATCGTTACATTGCTGTTCATTTAAGGTTTGAACCTGATATGCTTGCATTTTCTGGTTGTTATTATGGAGGTGGTGATAAAGAGAGATATGAGCTTGGTGAAGTCAGGAAAAGGTGGTCCACTTTAGGAGTGAGATTCTTTCCTATCCCAAATTTCATTTTTCTTTTTCTTTTTCTTTTTCTCTCAAAAATATCTCATTATTAATTAATTAGGACGTGAATCCTGATGGAGAGAGAAAGCAAGGAAAGTGTCCACTTACACCACATGAGGTGGGGCTGATGCTGAGTGCACTCGGTTTCAAGAATGACACATACATTTATGTTGCATCAGGTGAAATCTATGGAGGTGAAGAAACTTTAAAGCCTCTTAGACAACTTTTTCCAAATTTATACACCAAGGAGATGTTGCTAATGGCTTCTCAACAAGAACACCTTCTTCAACCTTTTCTTCCCTTTTCTTCTCGTCTTGCAGCCATTGATTACATTGTTTGTGATGAGAGTGATGTGTTTGTCACTAACAACAATGGGAACATGGCAAAAATTCTTGCTGGAAGAAGGTAAGGTGTTTTATTTGATTTAACTCTATTTCAGTTGTATCATATTCCAATGTTGTGTATTTATTTATTTAAAGGAGGTATATGGGGCATAAAAGAACAATTAGACCAAATGCAAAGAAGTTGAGTGCTTTATTTTTGCAAAGAGAGAAGATGTCATGGGGGAGTTTCTCAAGTAAAGTGAAATCAGCTCAAAGGGGGTTTATGGGGGACCCGGATGAGATGAAACCTGGACGTGGTGATTTCCATGAATACCCTTCCACCTGCATCTGCAAGACATTCAATTATCATCATCATCATCATCATGACAACAACACTAAACAAGATATGCTCAAGCTCAACCATGAAAGAGAGTCTGAATTTGAAGGTGTTATTAGTAGTAATACCACTACTACACATAGAGATGATGATGCTGATGCATCACTAGAAGAGAAAGAAGATGATGATTTTTTGGCTGGTGACTAGTGTTGAATGGCAAGTGTAAACCATTGTATTTGACCGATTTGTTGTCATTACAACCATTCTTATGAAAAATTCAAAACAAGAGTCTAAGAAATGTAAATCATCTCTCAACATTTTTGGTTATATAATTAATGAGCTTATTTTTGGTGTCTTTCTGCAAGAATAATGTTTTTTTAGCAATTTGTTGTCATTTCGAGTCACTTAACTTATTGTCTATTTGTATATGGACAATTGGACATCCATGAATGTATGTGATTATTGATCATAATAGATGGTGTTTGGATCGAAATAACTGATTGAGGGATGATTAGAAAAATGACCACATGGTTTTTCTACAAGACCAAAACAATAATTTTTTTGCATAAACATGATTTTTGAGCATTAGAGCAAATGACACAACCTTTTTGCAATTATCGTCGGGTCTGAAATGGGTAATTTTTTATTTCGAAAATATAAACACGAGAACTTCCTCTCGTTTGAAACAAACACTTTCAAAAATTTCAATTTTGAAAAGTTTATCATTACCGGTTTTCGGTTAAAACGACATGTTTTTATGTTGTATAAATATTTGAAATAAATTTTGTAATGTTAACTAGTTAAAAAGTAATAGTACTTAGATTTAAACAATGCGAGTGGGTAAGTAAGAGTTGATTTTTCAAGATTTGGGATTGATGTATTTAATCATGGCTTAATCCTTTTCACGAGATGTTAGACCCTTATTGTAAAAAAAATGTTTGGGGACTTAAAATGTTAAGAGAATCCCAACTAGGTTACATGTTTTGAAAAGATAAAGTTGCGGGACTAGTTTTGCCTAAAAATCAACCTCTTCCTTTTCAATAGGAACGACCTAGAGAGTAGAGAAGGGAAGGAGATGTAACTACTTGCAATGTCTCCAACAATCATGAAAAAGTTTCAAATAAATAGTCTGGGTTTAAAAGTTTGATTTCCTTATTGCAATCAGAAGCGAACTGCATTGCTTTAATTTCTGATTATCATTCTTTGCTTTGAGCCACACTCAATTGCACAGGTTTAAGTTTTCGTAATCAATCCGCCCTCTTTCTTCTGTTTTCTGATCTATTTTGAGGTGTTATGTGCAATTTGATGTGAAAATCGATCGCAATCCTCTCGTTTGGGGTGTATCAGAATGTGTGCAAGCGAGCAAACATTTTCTGGCATGAGACGAGCATGTGATTTCTCAGGAGAAAAGAAACCAAAAAGCTCATTAGTAATTGCAGGTCTCCTTTGGGGGTCTTGTCATTGCTATTGTTGGAATGTTGATTATGGGGCGCGTGATCTATGTTGTACCAGATGGGTTCTTCTTCTTCAAGACTTATCGGTCCCATGTCACCATTAAATCCCCTTCCTTGATTTCAGAGTATCAGGTGCGGCAAGTAAGAGTTTATATTTGTGGTTTTGTTAATCCATGCTCATTATTGTTCTTTTTTTCATGATGATATGAACCTTATATCTTATTATTTGTGATATGTCAAAGTGTTGGAACACCAAGAAAATTACATATGGGATTTACTCTGATTCTACTCAAAACAAAATTAAGTCCCCCAAACTTCAGATTATTCTACATATGAAGGTGTATTTCACTTGATATCAATGAAACCGAACCTACATGATCATTTGTTTGAGTTAAGTGAGAAAAGATGACCTAATGAAGCACGCCTTTACTGTATAAGATTTATTAAGTGTGTAATTGTGTTCTTCAATTACTTTACTGTTTATAGTTCATTCCACTTTCAGAAATCAGAACTGCCTACCTCTAATCTTCATTTGAATTAATGAAATTACCTTGAAAATGAAATCTTGTGTGAGTGTGTTTATAGTGTTCTAGGATACTGTCCCATTGATTCCCAATCAATTCAATGCTAGCAAGTAAAAATTCCACGTGGCGTGTATAGTTGCACAAGATTTAGCCACTTGTAATTGATGCTCCTTTTCGGGATTTCACTCATTATAAATTTCTTACCCCTAATTCGTCTACTCATTGAACTGAAAAACTTTGAGCCCTAGAGTCTTCTCCTTACCATAGAGCATTACTCGCGTTTGGCTTGATGATGAAGCAATTAGGTATTTCTCCTTCTCAATTTGTAATTTCCATATGTTTCTAGCATTATTGATCATCGATTCAATCGGAGATTCAAAGTGCATGCTTTAATTCCCAAAATCATTTGGAAACAATCAAATGTGTTTCTTAAAATGCCAACTTGTGATCTGATATCTAATTTAATCGATTCACTAGGATCTCATTCCGATTTCATGTGCTACTTAAATTTGCATCTTTTTCTGTCCCTCATTCGCGATTTCATCCCCATTTTGATCTTACAACACTTAGTGTAGACTGTAGAGAATCTCGAGCATAGATTTTGCATGATCTAAACATATTAATCAGATCTTCTTGACTTTTTGTGTACTTGAGCTTTTATCTATGTTTTCAGTTTTCCCCTTGTGCCAATTTTATGATACGCATTGTTAGTAACCTTACATTTTTTATAAACTCTACTTTTACTAACAGATTCAAAGAAAAACAAGGAGCCTGAATCTTCAGGATTACAGATCCAAGAAGAAGAAGAAGAAGAAGAAGAAGAAGATGATGAAAACTTTGAAATCATATGGTCAGGTGAATCTTCAATGTGCACCAGGAACCTAAAGCATTATCAAGCTTTTACCAAAAATGGAACCACAATATCTGTAAGCATCATCTTTTGTCCCTCTTGTTTCTTGTTTCCCCTCCTTTTAAAACTTAAATTCTTTCATGTATTATACAGGTTTATTCATTTGTATTCATCCTAGCTGGTGAAGGAGGTTACCACATTGGTTACTTGGAAGACATGTATGAAAATTACAGGCAAAAAAAGATGGTGAAAGTGAGATGGTTTCATCGCAGTGAAGAACTTAGTGAATTAATCTCAAATCCTCAGCCTCATGAGCTTATAATCACCTCTCATTGTCAGATCTTAAGTGCAGAATGTATTGATGGACTTGCCACCATTTTAACTCCCAAACATTACAACCAATGTTTGGCTTTTGTTACACAAGACTTCTCAGATGGGATTTACATGTGCTCTAAGCAGATAAAAAATGACAAAATTTCCTCTTTTCCTTTTTCTAAGTTGCGTGGCTACTATACCCAGATCATATTTTCTGTTCTTAATCTCCCAATTGGTCCCAACAAGAACAACCAAGAAACCTCATCTAAAAGAGAAGAAGAACAAGAACAAGAACAAGAACAAGAAGAAGAAGAAGAAAAAGGAAAAGAAAAAGGAAAAGGAAAAGAAAAAGAAGAGGGTGTTCAAAGTTTCAAACGGGGTGTTACAATTGTTGATAATGAGGTAGAAAAAACACAACCTTTTCGTGTTGGTGAAGAGATTGAAGTGCTTAGTAATGATAGTGGGATAAGAGGGTGTTGGTTTAGATGTAAAATCTTGAAGATATCAGAGAAGGGATTGAAAGTTTTATACATGGATGTGGAGGATGCAGTGGGTCTCGGAAATCTTGAGGTATATATTCAAGTTTTTGTGGTATTATTATCTTTCACTAAACCAATTCTTGGGTCCCACATAGATGAATCACTGTTAGACTAGGGGGGTTGTTTCTTAATGGGTTAAGCCAAAAACAGTCTGAATCTGACCGAGTCAGATCCAACCTCTTATTAGAGGCTATAGGACCGAGTCAGAGGTTTCTAATTGTGGTACCAAACAGTCTGAAGCTGACCAAGTCAGACCAGTAAGAGGCATATCAAACAGCCCCTAACGCCAATGTAGTAACTTTTTATATTTTCTTTTTTTGTAGGAATGGGTGTTGGCATATAAAATTGCAGCTGCTGATAAAATGGGGATGAGATGGTTAGGACGTAATTCTATACGTCCTGCATGTCCTATAATGGAATCTTCAGATGATGGTTTCAAGATTGGATCAGCAGTGGATGCATGGTGGTGTGATGGGTGGTGGGAAGGTGTAGTGATTGGAATCAACATCCGTGGAAAAAATGATTTTCAAGTTTACTTTCCTGGTATATATAAACTATAAAAACTCCACCTCTTAATTTTCTTTGAGAAGTAAGTAGATGTGAATGTGACACTTGAAAAATGATATTGGTTTTGAACGTTTGTGTGTAGGTGAAAACAGGTTGCATTATTTTGAGAAGACGAATCTAAGAGCTTCAAAAGAGTGGGTTGATAATAAGTGGATAGAGATAAAGCCAAAGCCTGATGTAGTCTCTTTTCTGACATCAAATATGAAGCTTCAAAAAAAGTCAAGTTTGGGTGGGCCCTCTGGATCTGGAAGTGGATCATCTTCTAAAACTGGAGCAAATAATGTCGTGATGATGAAGAAGAAGAAGAAGAAGGCATTGATGGGATTCTCAAAACCAAAAGATAGTAAAATGGGTGGTAAATACTAAATAGTAAGTAAGGTGCAGGATTTGGTTCATTACTAAATACTAAGAATAAATAAAGACTTGGTTTATATATGAATTAGAGGTGGGGGTTGTTGGACTCTTTGAGTGGAGTCATATGTTCTGCTCCATGTGTGTTGGTATTTCGTTTTGAACCATATTTAGTTTGCAATTAACAATCTATATTATAAGGATTTCATCTTAAGATCTTATGCGCTTGAATTGATGATACTGGTTTTTTTGATAACTGATGAGGATCCTTTTAGATTTGAATGGAGTCATCAATCTATGTTGAAGTTCATGTTTTCATTTTAAAATTTGGATGGATGAAATATTCATGTTTTAATGTTTGTTATTAAGCCGATTACAACCCATTCTTTAGAACAAAATATTATGTGTAGATATATGGTTGTCTTTGTCATAAAATCATGTTTAGCTCTTCTACACTGTTTTGAAGAAGTTCACCTTTGTTGTTCTTGAATATTTACAATATCGAGATTACAACCACAGATATGATATATGCTTCAAGGGGTTGAAACATATGGTGAGTTGGATTGAAGATTATTTGGCCTTTAATATTTCTCATATATAGTTATGAACGTAATCATCTTGTAATATTTCACATATATATATAAAATTTCTCGAAAAGTAGTTTGCATTACAATTTATCCTAGTCAGATCTCCCTGCTTAGTGAGTTTGCAATATTGGGCGAGGGTATTCCATGCGAGATCACAATATTGGAAGTGGGTTTGAAAAAAGTTGTTGACATTGAATTTAGAAATGGAATTAGAATGAGTGTTTTTAAGAAATCAATATAATGGATTTTATTATATTTGAGAAATATATAATATGATCAATTAAACAAAATGTAAATATAAATTCTATTGTATTATTTTAGTATTTGGTTATTGAAGCTTAAATAATATTTTGGTGTTAAAAAATCATATTTTAGTATTTTTTTCGGGATAATGACTTAAAATGGTAATATACTTTTTGATTGCTGAGTTTTTTTTTTTTTCACATTTGACCATTTAACTTGTTTTTTTTTTCTACATTCAGTCCTTGTAACCGGTTATTCCATGTTAAGCCGGAAAAATGATAATAAGGTAACATATTTTTCGGTTTGTACACATTTAGTTCTTAATGTTTTTACACATTTAGTCCTTATGACCAGTTTCTTTAAATTTTGTTCATGATATCCAACGTGGGACAGTCATTAATGATATGTTTTCAAACATGGCTCGTCTGTCACTTATATTAGTAACCTAAGTCACAAATCGGTCAAATAATGTTGGTGCCCTAGTTTTCTCCAAGCAGAATATGTCTTCGTCTTCGGTTTCATTTACCTCCATAGAAGACAACGAGATTTTTGTGATTGTTTTCTCCTAACTCGAATTTACACTTCTAAGACAAAAGAAATTAAGGAAGATGCTAAAAGAATTTGCACTTCCAAGACAAAAGAACACACCGGAAAAAAGTTTCATCTATCTCCATAGAAGACAACAAGATTCTTTGTGATTGCTTCCTCTCAACTCGAATTTGCATTTCCAAGACAAAGAATATCGTTATTTGCTATGAAGATAGATGAGACCAAAGACGAATAAATCTTCTGTTTGCAGAAAACTAAGGCACCAAAATTATTTGACCGATTTGTGAATTCAGTTACTGATATAAGTGAAAGACGAACCATATATGAGAACACCTCATTAATGATTATTCCACGAAGGATGTCGTGAGCAAAATCTAAAGAAACCGGTCATAAAGACTAAATGTGTACAAAAACATTAAGAACTAAATGTGTACAAAATGAAAAGTATATTACCCTATTAATTCATTTTTCCGGCTTAACCTGTAGCAGCCAGTTATAAGGACTGAATGTGGACAAAAAAAATCAGTTAAATGGTCAAATGTGGACAAAAAAAAACTCAGTAACCAAATATATACAAAATCAAAACATATAGACAAAATTGCAAGAATGGTCCCTGTGGTATGTCAAACTCGCATGTTGGGGCCAAAAAAGTTTGGAATCGCACCAGTGGTCCAATACTTTGATTTTGTTGCGAATTTGGTCTAATGACTTAACAGTCGTTACCTTGGTCCCGTTAATTGCCGCATGCCCCCCTCAAGTGAGGGTATTTTAGTCCATTCATGTATTCTCCTCTATTATTTTAATATTATTTAGGTGCCCCGTATTGTTCCCACTAATATCACTTATAGAGGCCAATTCCCTCTAATAGACCCCAAAAAGTAGTTTTCTTATCAATTCCAATCGTCATTTACCAAGATCAAAAAACCCTAGACGCTAATTTTGGTCTTTGGCTTACGATTTGCAGTGATTAACATTGTATGAACATACCAATGTGGAATCTAAGGTTGTCAAATAAACCCTTCAATGCCAAGGTTGCTTATGGTACGTGATTTTCCCTCTTCCTGTTGATTACTTGATTTGTTTGAAAAAACTCCACCTGAAGTCTCTTTTTTCTTATTTTGAAGATGGATACCCAACAATGTTTACCATTAAGTTGTACCATGGAGGTGATTTCACCAAGTACCTTGATGTTCGTTACATCGATGGAAGGGTAAACTATGTTGACATGGTTGATATGAAGAGTTTTCAGTTGATGAGCTCGATGCAATCATGAAAGGGTTAAGATACGGGGTTCCCCCAATTATATACTATCATTTCCTTGTGCCTAGTGGAGACTTCCACTTTGGTCGTCGCCCTTTAGGAAATGATGAAGATATTGTTAATTTTGCTCAATATGTGAGTGAGCACAAAGTCATGAAGGTATACACTGAACACGGTGAGACAAGACTACTCACCTATTTCTTGAATCCTAAACATGAATGGTGACAACCAATAATATCCCACCATGCAGCATCTTCTGTGTAACAACCCAATTTTCAAAAGAAAATTTTCATTTTTAAATAGTAAAAAACATCTTCCATAAACTATAAAACCTCAAATACATTTGTTTTCAAAATTCATATTAATAACAATATTATTCCAATCATCAGAGTGCCCCATAAAAACATCTGAGAGAGAGTGCATGCCACGTCATTAAGCCTTTCCTTTGCCCTTAGACTGAGAAGTACTTGCAACAAATCCACAAACTGTAAGCTAATACTTAGTGAGTTCCCCATAGCATACCCCACACAAACCACATAATCACATAATCCATATTAGCTCTAAAAGCTACATAAACCATACAAGCCATGCATACAAACATATAAGGATGTCGTGGGCTCCTCCCAAGGTTTTACTCCAGGATGCCATGGGCTCCCCCATATGGTATTACACCTAAGTGTCATGGGCTCCCCATGGTCTTTAGCTGGAAAGCCATGGGCTCCCCTACATGGTCTTACATCCAAGTGTCATGGGCTCCTCCCATGGTCTTTACTTGAAAAGCCATGGGCTCCCCCATATGGTCTTACATCCAAGCGTCATGGGCTCCCCCCATGGTCTTCCCTGCAAGTGTCATACTAACATAACACATAATCACACAACAATCCACATATCATAAAATAGGTCGGCCTTGGTGTAATGCCCGTGTTTCTAGGCTAGACATTAATATTGACATTATAGTCTAGGTTAACCTTTGTAACTCATT